AAGGAAGGTGCCATCATTGTCCTCACGTATGCTGGTTATTTGTCTGTTAGCTGTCAGCTTCATTGCTGACTTCCTATGTTCATCTTTATAATGCAGGGGGTGTGGAAGCCTGCAAACTACATGTCATAGGCTGTGATCAGCTGCCTTCTGGTTGAGCTCTGCCAGTGAAAAGCCTTGGGACAGGACTCAAATGCTGGAGGGAAGGAGAAGTTAGATTTTGCATTGTTTTGGTTTTGTTTTATCCCTGCTTTCACGGATGCCTCCCCCAGTGGTGACACCTCAGTGGAAGTGCAACTTCTGGCCCCCTGCACAGCTTCAGGGACCATCTGATGGCAGTAACAGCAACTGCACCTCCAGAAGATCAGAAGCACGTGCAGGCTGGGCTTCTGCCAAAGGCTGGTAAGAGCTCCCTGGCCTCTGAGTTTCTCCCTTCTCCCTTTTACTCTTCTACCTCTTCCAAAAGACTGTAACCAACTCCCTGTATTAAATCCCTCTCTGCTGGAAATACCTCCAGTGCAATCTACTTTCTTAACTGGGCACTGATGGGTACACCATTTAATGCACAAGGAGACCCAGGTACAGAGAGGTTAAGTAACTCGTCCCAAGGCAAACAGCTAGCAAGTAACATAAAGCACAGATAAAGAAAAAGAAAAAAAAACCAAGGTATTGAATTAAGTCAAGGTTTCTTAGGCATGTCACGCAAAGCCCTTCATAATTATCTTCCTCTCTCCATCCATGTACTATGGTCTAGCTGGAAAGTGACACCTAGCAGGAGAATGTGCTTGGTAGTTTTTGTTAATAAATGAAGGAATGAATGCCAGATGTACCATACTTGTATAAAACCCCAGCAGGATATGTGACTGCAGTGGACATTGGATGAATCAGTGAATAAATAAATAATAAACAAATGAATAAACTCCAAGCACACAACAAATAGACCTGGGTAGCAATTCCCTGCCTCTGTGTTCCTCCCACCCTCAGACTCAGAGCCCTAATGCACCCAAGAGACTGAATGTTCACATCACTTATACAGAGTAAGCATGCAATAAATGCATATTTATTAAACTAATGAAGAGAAGAATCCATCAAAAATGCAATCAATCAAGTCATTGCCCAACGATGTTTAAAATTCTAGTTTATTGAACCACAAAAATCTTCCAGAAAGAAGGCACAGAAGAAAACCTTTACGTTTTCCTAAAAACAAAAACCTCTAATATAACAACCAGCAAACAATTAGACGTTAATGTCTCTAACCAAAAAAAAAAAAAAAAAAAAAAGTAACCACAGTTAATCTCAGGGGATATCCTGTACGAAAAGGGAAAAAACAATGAGTCATGGATTCTAACCTCCTGTTTATAACCGGGGCCCACAAATGATCTGTTGCTGAAGGAGAAGAAAGCCATTAATCTCCCAACTCAGGGAGCAATTTTATATTTTGAATAAAAACAAAATAAACAGCATTAAGGAGGATAATAAATCAGATATGCAGTAATTAGTTTGAAGGAGCCGGATTTTCCTGCCTAACACTCTCTTTGGAACTTCTGCCTTATCCATCAAAGCAAAAGTGTATCAGATGACATGGAGATTTTCCATTCCGTTTTCAGACAAAATTAGTCAGTTGATCTGAATAGTAATTTGACAGGACCCAGAAGGGAGAGCATGAGTGATGGGATTATAATAAATGCAGGAGAGGATGCTTAATAAACTTTGGTGAAGCCCTGGATCCTGCACTTTTCCTCTCCTACCCTCTGTGTAACGCCTGGTTTATGAAATTGTTCCTTTTTCCTCTGTGAAATCTTAGGAGGCTTGGACTTTTTTAAAATAAAGAATCTAAAAAGGACCTTATTTGTTTTCTTACCCAGTATCCTTATTTTAAAGATTTAGAAAGTTCAGCCCAGAAACAATAATTAACTTGCTTAAGTTTCCACAACAAAATCAGCTGAAGCCCCAGGATCAAAATCCTGGCCATGTGCCTCCCAGCCCTTTGCCTCAAAGCTCAATAAAGACAAAAGCACAAATGAGATTGTGAAGTGGTTCCTTACTGAAGGGCAGTCTTGGGTCTCATGCATCACTTTCTGGGTAGGAGCTCCCTTGATATGGTTTGGCTTTGTATCCCCACCCAAATCTCATCTTGAATTGTAATCCCCATGTGTCAAGGGAGAGACCTGGATTGGATCATTGGGGTGGTTTCCCCTATGCTATTCTCATGATAGTGAGTGAGTTCTCATGAGATCTGATGGGTTTATAAGGAGCTCTTCCCCCTTCACTCACCTCTCTCTCTCACCTGCTGCCATGTAAGTTGTGCCTCTTCCCCTTTGCCATAATTGTAAGTTTCCTGAGGCCTCCCCAGCCATGGGAAACTGTGAGTCAATTAAACTCCTTTCCTTTATAAAGTGCCCAGTCTCGGGTGGGTCTTTATGGCAGTGTGAAAACAGACTAATATACCCTTTGATGTGAAACCACAGAGGAAGGCTGCTCCTCCTTTTTCAGGCTTCCTCTGGCATTTTCCCTCCAATCAGTCACTCTCTCCAGAGTCCTCTATCACTCATTTGCACCTTATTCTGAATTCTAATGATTAAGTTTTTTTCTCCCCATTATTTGGGAATGTCCTGCTAACAGTTGTTTTTTCAGGAACAGTTTGGTAACTGATTCATTTGAGGCATAGACATAATGAGTTTCTCCCGATACATCTATAAACCCTTGCATAGTTCCCTTTACTATTGTGAATGGAGCTCTGTGAGTAAGTTGTCCCTTTGCCTTTCATCTCCCACCATCCCATCTACCCCATGTGGGTCTATACATCTAAAGTTTAATAACCCTCCAGTGGAAAGAACAGGAAGACATCGAAAGATTAAAGATGCTCATCAATGCATTGGTTTCTAATAAAAATACAATAATTCAAAAGCAGAATATAAATATCCATCATTAATGAACAGCTAAGTAAATAATGATTCATTATTCATACAACAAAAACCTATGTAGCTGTTAAAAATAATATAGAGAAGAATATGTATTAACATAAGATATTCAGGGTACGTTGACAACATGGTTAATATGAAGATGTTATCAGATAGTAGTTATTATATGATGTAACTTATTACAGAAAAATGCAACAAGTTGTTACTGGAAAAAAGTATGACATGATAGTCCCAAATATGTGATATAAATATGACTTTTTATTACATTTCATAATATAGTAAACATATTCATTTTGTAAGAAAAACAACCCAACAATGTTGTTTTTATTATTTTTAACAAAATATCCAAGCAGTCACTCTGCTTAATTAGACAAACAATGAAAGTAATTATGGGCAAGTGTTCTCTGTGACTGTAAATATTCAGAGGGGGCCTGGGTGGCCCCAAACTTGAGTCACCACTTTACTTTCTTTATTTTACCTCTTGTTTGTTTTATTTATGAAGTTTCATTTGAACAGAAGTTTCTAAGGGCAGGTGTGTGTATGTGCTTTGTTCTGGTTTCTTTTTGAGTGAGTAGAATGGGTTCTTATCTGTGAATATTCGCTCTTTATGAACAACAGTAGGCATGTGAACAATTATTGAGAGTCTTTGATGTGTCAGATGTCATCCTAGGGCTGTATCCAAATGTTATCCTGTTTATTTGTCATCACAGCTCTAAGAAGCAGGTATGACTTCTGCTCATTTTGAAGCATAGGCATAGAGGCTTGCAAAGATGCAGGGACCTGCCCCAGCTCATGCAGGCAGGCAGTGGTGGGCTGAGAGTGGTGAGAACCAGTCCCATCTCCTCCTACCCACTGCAAGCAGGCTACCAGTTTGGCTGGGGGTTGTTGGTTGAAGTGTATCCCCCGACACCTGCAACCAAATTCATATATTGAAGCCCTAACTGTGCCCCACCTAGTATCTCAGAATGTAAATTTAATATAATATAACCTTATGTGGAGATAGGGTCTTTACAGAGACAATCAAGCAACAATGGTTAATGAGTGGGCCCTAATCTAATAGGTATACTTAAAAAGACTGGTAAATATAGATTCTTAGTAAATATATATACTTACAGGGACTGGTGTCCTTGTAAGTGGAGGAAATTTGGACACAGACGCATCCAGAGGGAAGATGATGTGAAGACACAAGGAGGGGATAGCCATTGCAGACCAATGAGAGGAGCCTAGGAAAGATTTCTCCTTCTGTTGACTAAAGAAAGAATGAAGCTTTTAAAGAATTAAAGGTAGCTTCATTCAGAAGCCTTACTGAGCACCACAGACTGAGGCCAATAGCCCAAGAGCAGCCCTTTAGAGAGGTCTTATCAGACTGCCCTGAGACAGTATTTAAGCCAATGCCCGTATACAGGTGGTACAGGTGGTGGAGGTTTAATATGGGCAAAATCACATCAAACTTGCCAAGAAGCTACATTAAAGCAGAGTTACATCAAGGTTAACCAGATGTACATCAGAGTACATCTGGTTACAGACTACAGAGGCATAATCACTAATTCCATCAGACGTTGTTTTATAAAGTGTAGGAAAAGGCAAAGGCTAGGGCCATTTATCTTTTAAGGAATGTAGTGACTCAGGCAAGAGACGGGGGGCCGTGTGCTCTATCCTGTTTTGTCTTCAAAGAATCCTCCCAGAGAGCTGCACTTTGTCCCAGCATCAGGGGCTTTGTGAAATTATGCTAGCAAGCAGAAGTGAGCAAATACAGCTTTTTGCATCTGCTACTTTGTCTCATACTTCACAGCCCTCAAAGGAGCCAAGGCTGCAGATGCCTTGATTTTGGACCTCCAGCCTCCAGAACTGTGAGAAAATAAATTTTTGTTGTTTAAGCCATTCAGTTAATAGTCCACTGTTACGGCAGCCCTAACAAACCAATAAAGTGAGTTACCTGGTGATCACGTGAAACATCAGCTGTGATGACAGAAAGGTGCCCTTAAGAACACAAAACAACTGGGGTCTACTATGTGGAAGCCGAAGGTTACAAGGAGTGAAATTGTAGGAAAGGAAGAAATGCCAGTAGAAGAGAGGACCCAGGTGCTCGCTCTGGCAGCACATATACTAAAATTGGAACGACACAGAGAATATTAGCATGGCCCCTGTGCAAGCATGATATACAAATTTGTGAAGCGTTCCCTATTTTTAAAAGTTAAACATTTTTTTTAAAAGACAGTAGGTCCCAGGAAGCCCTGCTCCCTCTCTGCCCACCCTACCCAGGCCAACTCTGCTACCAGGAAGAAATTCACAGGGCCAAATTATTCAGTCACGTGTATTGAGGCCAGAAATGCATTATTTAATTTTTTGCAGCAGATGTACCTTTTTAACACTGTTTTGTTTCAGGCTAAAATTATAACATTAAAATTTAATATTCAAACGTTAGCATGAGCTCACATTTCTTGAATGTCCACCCACCTTTTTCCTCCAGCATATGTGGAATGGCAACAGGGGAGGGGTGGGAAGAGGACAAGGCTGTGGCTGCTGGTCTTATCTCTGCATCTGAGTGGCTCTGTGGCCTTGACCACATTGCTCCACTCCTTTAGGGTTCGGTTCCCTCCTCTCTCAAATGATGGAAATAACCTGGGTGTTCTAGAAGTCTCCTGCAGCTCAAAGTATTCCCCAGTCTGTGTATTTCTGGAGACTGGAGGGAGCCAAGAAGTGATGGACAACAGATGCCTGAGCAGAACTGATATGTATCTGCACTTTTGCCATCATCAGAAGTTGGAGGGGTCTTGGAGAGAGCCATGAACATGAGCATCTCCAAGTGTTGATAGGTGTGTGGCCTCAGCAGGGTCCCTCCAGACTTTTAGGGAGACAAGCAAATATAAATTCATAGTGGTTATTCCTATCCTCTCTTGTAAAGGATAAAAGGTAAACATTACATTTATTATTATTACTATTATTATTTTGTGACTGATTCTCGCTCTGTCACCCAGGCTGGAGTGTAGTGGCAGGATCTTGGCTCACTGCAACCTCCGCCTCCCAGGTTCAAGCAATTCTCGTGCCTCAGTCTCCTGAATAGCTGGGATTACAGGTGTGTGCCACCACACCTAGCTAATTTTTATATTTTTAGTAGAGACAGGGTTTCACCATGTTGGCCAGGCTGGTGTCGAACTCCTGACCTCAAGTGATCCACCTGCCTCAGCCTCCCAAAGTGCTGGGATTAGAGGCATGAGCGACCATGCCCAGCCTCATTACATGTATTCTAAAAATTAAAGATTTTCTGACTGCAAAGTCCTGGATTATTTAATGAAGCTTCTGTGACTGTATATGTCTGGCAGTATGTGTGTGTGTGTGTGTATGCCTATGTCACACATGCATGTGCCTCGGTTTCCCTGGTATCCCAAGAAGATTTTTAGCTTTTCTTTGGGGAAATTACATCTTGAAAAGCAGGTACTTCAGAACGCCTTCCTTTTCTGAACTCTGAAGTCCAGCTCTTAATTTCTTTTTTTTTTTTTTTTTTTGAGACGGAGTCTCGCTGTGTCTCCCAGGCTGGAGTGCAGTGGCGTGATCTCGGCTCACTGCAAGCTCCGCCTCCCGGATTCACGCCATTCTCCTGCCTCAGCCTCCCAAGTAGCTGAGACTACAGGCGCCCGCCACCACGCCCGGCTAGTTTTTTGTATTTTTAGTAGAGACGGGGTTTCACCATGTTAGCCAGGATAGTCTCGATCTCCTGACCTCGTGATCCACCCGCCTCGGCCTCCCAAAGTGCTGGGATTACAGGCTTGAGCCACCGCGCCCGGCCTCTTAATTTCTACTGTTGGTGAGAGTGCAAGTCGACGTCACCTGACTTAGTACATGGGCGTTCTCTCTAGCCTCTCAGGTTGAAAGTCTCCCTGCTGTGACTCATATCCTCACTCTAATCTATGAAGGAGGATTTTTTCTTTTCTTTTCTTTTCTTTTTTTTTTACTAGACATTTACATGAAATTAGATAGAGTTAACTTATCTCTCTCCCGGCACCTTCTTGTGCAGGTCCACCAGTCAAATCCAGCAGACTGCAAAAATACTAGCCTTTCTCCATTGAAGAGTCAGGTAATGCCGGAAGAGTATCATGGCACAGCAATACTCCTCAGAGCAAACGTTGGCTTTTCAGCTAACTTAGAAGTTCCCTGGAAAATGCTTCTTAAGCCTTAGAGAAGAGAGACGGTCTTTTTCATATAACGTAGCCAAACCAAGGGCGTGACATTCCATCGCCGTCACCATACTCTATTGATTGGAAGTGATACACAGTTTCTGCCCACAATGAACAGAAGAGGTAACTCACTGCAGGTCACATTTAGGTGTGTCCGCCACACCATTCTTCCCAACATTTTGTAAGACTTCTTGTACATGCCAGGTGTGGTAGCTCACCCTTGCAATCTCAGCACTTTGGGAGGCCAAGGCAGGCACATCACTTGAGGTCAGGAGTTTGAGACCAGCCTGGCCAACATGGTGAAACCTCATCTCTACTAAAATTACAAAAAGTAGCCAGGCGTAGTGGTACACACCTGTAATCCCAACTACTTGGGAGGCTGAGGCAGGAGAATCACTGGAACCCAGGAGGCAGAGGTTGCAGTGAACCAAGATTGCGTTGACTGCACTCCAGCCTGGGCAACAGAGCAAGACCCTGTCTCAAAAAAAAATATAAGGAAGCTTAGTTGGGCATGGTGGCGTGCACCTGCAGTCCAGCTACCCAGGAGGCTGAGGCAGGAGGATTGCTTGAGTCCGGGAGTTCAAGGCTGCAGTGGGCTATGACTGTCCAGTTGTACTCCAGCCTGGGTGACACAGCAAGATCCTGTCTCCAAAATAATAATAATAATCATAATAATAATCATCATAATAATAATAATAATTGAAAGAATAAAAAAAGATGGGGATAGAGATGAAACAAAATTGGCCATGAGCTGATAATTTTTGACGCTTTGTGTTTAGTTATGCAGTGGGTCACTGTGCTATTCAGCCTACTTTTAAATACATTTAATATTTGCATAATAAAAAATAACTGACAAGAAACAGTGATCAAGTTAGTAATAATCCTTAGCATATTTCAGCAATTCTACATGCCAGGCGCTATGCTAAGTGCCTCATTTACATCATCTCATTTGATTCTCACAACAGCCGTATCAGAAATCATTAATAATGCATTTATAAACAAAAAAACTTGCTTCTCTGATAGGTTAAATGACTTGCCCAAGTATATCAAGAACCAGATGCTGTGTTCTCACTTATGAGTGAGAGCTAAATGTCAAGTATATATGGATGCAAAGATGGGAAGAACAGACACTAGGGCCTACTCGAGGGTAGGGGGTGCAAGGAGGGTGAGGACTGAAAAACTACCTATTGGTTACTCTACTTAGTACTCGGGAGATGAAATAATCTGTACCTCAAACCCCTCTGACATGAAATTTATCTATATAATAAACCTGCACATGTACCCCTGAACCTAAAATAAAAGTTAAAAAAAAAAAGCCTAAAACTTAAAACAAACAAACAAAGAACAGATGCTGAATCCAAGTCTCCTTTGATTTCAAAGCCCATATTCTTGTTTTTGTTATTGTTGTTGTTGTTGTTGTTGCTTTGAGGCAGAGTCTCACTCTATTGCCCAGGATGGAGTGCAGTGGCATGATCTCGGCTTACTGAAACCTCCGCCTCATGGGTTAAAGTGATTCTCCTGCCCCAGCCTGCCGAGTAGCTGGGATTACAGGCATGCACCACCACGCCTGGCTAATTTTTGTATTTTTAGTAGAGACGAGGTTTCACCATGTAGGCCAGGCTGGTCTTGAACTCCTGACCTCAGGTGATCCACCCACCTCAGCCTCCCAAAGTGCTGGGATTACAGGCGTGAGCCGCCACACCCGGCCTCAAAGCCCATATTCTTAGTTACTATTTCAAGTTAAGTCAGCAAGTATAGGTTAAGTGCCTATATGAAGCACTGGGAAGGTGACAATCAGAAGATGTGATGTTTGGTCTCAAGGAGATCAAGGCCGAGAAAATATTTATCATTGCAATTCTGGCCCTGGATCAACCACTTACAAATGAGGAGAGGCAAATTATCTCAACACACTAGACCTCAGGTCTTTACCTGTTTGATGAGATCATAGAATCCATCCTACAAGTCACAGAGGACAGTAGGGAAGATCAAATGAAGTCATGTAAATAAAAGTCACGAGGAACAGTAAAGGGCTGTTTAAGTAAAAAGGACAAAATGAAACAACAGTAATGGCAATATTGTGGTTGAAGATAAAAAGCCTTTAGCCTACCTAGAAGATTTTTAGTGTTCTAAACCCAGGTGTCCTAAGCCCCGTGGTTTTTCCTTCATGAAAGCTCCTCAACAAATTCAAGTATAGTGAGGCCGGCCCTAAGAGCACCCAGGGCAGTGACATTTCAGAGGCATTGTAGAGAAGCTCGGTCATCACATTGCAGTGTCTTCCTTTCCAGGACTGTGCTTAGCACACAGGAGAGCCACATATGGGGACCGGGAATTATTTCTGATGTAGCGATTGGGAAATTGTGACAATGTATACTAATGAGGTGACAAGAACAGATAGTGTCAGATGCACATTAATCTTTAGCCTGATGTCCTTCATGATATCCAACCTCCAGTTTCGTCTCCTGCCACAGTCATCCCCCACACGGACACTCTTCATACTGGTCTGACTCAAAATGCAGATTCCAGGACGCAGGCTATCTCACCACCTTCTTACTCACAATTCTCATACCGGAACACCCTTCCTCCTCCCCTCGTCTGAATCTTATTTGTTTTTTGAGATTTAAGTCAGGTCCTTCTTAGGAAGATCTCCCTGATTCAGATCCAAGTTGAATGATGATAACCCTCCTTTGGCTTCCATAAAATCTTATAACTTCCAAACTGTGTTTTATTAATAGCTGTCTAGTTTAGCATTATGTCAAGAGCTATTGAGGGCAGGGCTGGGCACGGTGGCTCACAGCTGTTATCCTAGCACTTTGAGAGGCCAAGGTGGGAGGATTGTTTGAGGACACCTCAAGACCACCCAGCCTAGACAAAAAAATGAGATCCTGTCTGTACAAAGAACAAAAGATTAGTTGGGCATGGTGACGTGCACCTGTAGTCCCAGCTACTTGAGAGGCTGAGGCAGGAGGATTGCTTGACCCCAGGAGATCAAGGCTGCAGTGATCCATGATGGTGTC